GGGATCATGGATTCCACCACCCTGGGACAACAGGCTAGTTTAGGGGCCTCAGGACAGCCTGGGTGGCATTCATAGCTTGGTCCTCCAACAAAAGGAGTCTGGTCCCAAGCATCTTCTTCCTGAGGTAATTATGAAGTGTGACGCCAATCCCAATCCTTCCTGTCACAGTTCCTCCTCATTCCTTTGTCTGTGCTCATTTCCCCTCTGAATTCCATCTTTTTCTTACTAGGGACATGCAGAACCTACCACTCACTCTTTTCAGCATGTGAGAAATGTTGCAGAATATCCTGCCTTATTGAAATTCTCAGGCATTGTTCATCGCTCAGCGGTGGGTTCTTGCCTTTAAAAAACAACAGTCATGAAAATTACTCGCCAAAGACTTGCTAAGGCTGCACTTTGCACTTGCTCAAATGTTCTAAGTATGTGTCTGAGAATTTCTTGTTCTGTATTTATTTCTTATGACCCAATCCCCTAAAGAAAAAGACACCTTCTGAGAGGGCAGACATGAGAGTTAAATAATATCACCATAATGTTTGGCAAAATATCTCATGGCTTGAATATCTGTCTGTGCATCAGAACAGCTTCTCTCGGCTTTGTGCTTCTTTTCCAATGTTTGGGGTGAGTGTGCAGAGACTTGAGTAGCACTACCAGAATCCATAGCAAAGGCAGGGGCAGTACCTTTGGCTGCTTCTTTCATGTCTTGCTCTTCCTCATTCATGGTTTCACTGAGTGGTTGACAGGAAATTTTGCAGGTCTTACATAAACCTTTTGAGTATCTCTCAAAATTCCTCAGATGTTTTGCTTGAATAATAACCTTCAAATTCTACTTTAGTCAAAATACCATGACAACACCAAAAAACCCAGAATCTGTTTACACATGTGTAGCTGCAGAGCTTTCCTATCCTTCCAGCTCTTGGCTGCTCCTCTCTGCATCATCCCTCATCTCTTCGGTCCTACTACTTACTTCTAGGGATAAGGGACAGATTGGTCCAATCTTCATTTTAACATGAACTTACCTAATGTTGCCTTTTCAACATGTTACTGCAATACCAGTAAATGAACTAAAACTAAGAAATCCTTCAAAATTGGCACAAAATTGGGCAGTGAAGTTCTCCAATTAAGAATGCATGCAAAAATGTATGCATTATGAGGTTAGGCACACAAAAATGTGTATATTACTTCAAAAATATTCAGAAGATGCTTGCAAAAATGGGTATATTGGGTAAAATTATGAACGTACATACAAGCATTAGGAGAAATGAACACAAAAATGCATATGGATTTTCATAAAAATTTTATAAAAGAAATGTGCAAAGTTTTAGATGAACAATGAAAAACAATTCACCATCAGAAAAAAGTCAAATTCAAGATTAGAAAAATGATGAACCAAGAGGATCCAAACTGGCCAATTGGTCTGTCTCTTCCTTCCCACATGTCCAGCACGTTTTGTGTTAATCCACATTTCACCAACATTTCAGCTCATCCCCTCTCGTTGGAAGGGACTATCCAGGATGTGGCTGTAACATTGTTGCCATTTGCTCATATCTTTATCATCTTTTCAAAATAGGATGTTGGAAAAAGACCAACAATTCTAAGCTTCTGTGGTTTTTCTCACATTTTTGTCCTACTTGTTTCTACTTCTTTAATTCCTTGGGAAATCTGACACATCTGAAGCTGCCCTGTTCTTATTCAGATCACTGGCTCAAGTCATACTAGCAACAAGCCATCAAAGCATGAGTTTTTTCAAGTCCTGGATCCCAAGGTTTTTTACTATGGCTGCAAGGATTTAACCTGAGAAAATCTTCTTGTAAACCTCAGAAAATCTTCACTTCACCACTTCCACTGAGCTGTGACTCCATTCTGTTTTGTAGCTACTGAGCTCCCATTAAGCTCAATGACTGTTTTGCTCCGTAAAACAGGAACAGGCAACTGGTGGACCTTCAGAATGTTGTCGCCTATAACTCCATAAACTTTCACCATACTCTGTGATGTCTAATGTTGATGGAAGTTATCAGTCAGAACATCTATAGAGCCACAAGTTTCTCAGACCTGCAATAAAACAATACAGAGGCCTGTTACACTGTTTTTATTCAGTCAAATCATAAAACTTACTCTCATGAACAGCCATGAACAGCCCAGATTTTCTCTTGTACTCTAATTTCTACTATTTCTATTAATTCCTTATGCATGCATATTTTAGTACACAATATATATATATTGTCTACATAAGCTAGTTTATGTAGGTTCAGACTCAGCCATTTGTTCCTATTCATTGTGCTTTTACCCAGTTCTTGCACTGCTTATGTCCCAAGTCATCCGTTACATGCACAGAAAAATAAGAGAAGGCTTCGCAGTCTGTTTTCCAAACTCTTTATTCTGGAATTGTCCTGTGGAGAGATTCCAAAGTGGAAGTGTCTTGAGCAACTACATTCTTGAATTCTGTTATAACTTTTTTAAATTTAAGTGATTCTGGATTGCTGTCTACAACCTTTCATGTAACTATGCACCATAGATGACCCTCTATATTATGAATGTAGTTGGAGACCTGGCTAGCATAGCTTACATCCTTGGTTTGACATTGCCTTTCAAGTCTTAAGACAACATGATTCATGTTTAGGCAGACGAAAGTCGTATCATTCCCAGCATTCTTATTGCTGGGAATTAGCCTTTTCCATGTAAACGCAGCAGAACTCTAGGACAGCACCAGGTTGATGTCGGGCCTGAGGTAGAAATACAGTGGAGAGCATAGTGATACATTTCCTCAAAGGGACCAATATTTGTAACAGCTGAGCATATAATGGCACACACCTGTGAAAAAGCCTTTGTTCTCTCAGGTACAGCAAGATCCTGATCAAGGCAAACTTTTTAAATTTATTTTTTGAACTAGTTCAATCATACCCCTGTAGCCAGCAGCTCTTTTCACAGCTCAGAGAACCTGATTCCTGCCCTTTGCTCCAACCCTACCACAAAGCTTTCACTTTTTAAATGTCCCAGCAGGAGACATTTTCAACCGAATCTACCAGACGGCAGCTCTGCTTCATGTCCGATTTTAAAGAAGCAGGTCTGATGTCCAAATGCAGACTGACTGCTAATGCTGCTTAGGCTCAAAATCAGCGATGAATTACTGCCAGAAAAATGTCCATCCGTCTGTCAGCACAGTAATGCCATTCTGTGTGGAGGCATTCCATGACAAGAAAAGCCAGGCTACCAAGGCTGAGCTGAACTTGGAGAACAGTCTTCACAGGTAGCCCCTTGCAACACAAGGGAACAAGCACCTTTTGCTATTGGCATAGACAACAAATGCGTGTTTGTTGTGCTCATGGATACGTGTGAGAAAGTTGTTTCAATTCATTTTTAATCAGGCCTCACTCAGTTTGATCCTTTCAGACCAAACATGGACTCAGATACAATCTGCCATCAAAGTCTGTATATTTCCAAGCATGAAATGCGATTTGCAGACCCCTCAAAATCAAGGAAACAGGAATGCATATGTTTCAAAGAGTTGCCTAATTGACGGATACATTTGGAAAAATATGCATCCAATATACAAAAATGATCCCTTTAAAAAAAAAAAGATTGCAATCTGATAGAGATTCACAATGGAATTTGGAGACTTTTGGCAAGCTTGAGTTTTCATGTATCCTAATGTGGTTGCTGTGAAGACATACAGTATTTGCATAAACAGCACAGACAACATTTTTAATTGGGTGAGCTGAAAATAGACTAAATGAATAACATGCAACAACCATGTACAAAACAAGAGGATAAATGAATCTGCATATCTTCCTGTTTGTACATCCTCAGCAAAGAAATTGCCTACATTCCCTGCTTCTTTTGGTCTGTCCTTCAACATTCTGTCTATTGTAGCATCTGGCTTTTGGATCCAACCTTTAAAAACACAGGGTTGGATCCAAATATCTATCCATGAAAGAAGGTAGATGGAAGCTGACCTTCCAGCACCAGCAGTTTCCAGTCTCTAAAAATGTTTTCCTAATGGTAAGGACCTTGCTGAGTGGGCTGAGGTTCCCCAGGGCCGTCTTAACGCATGGGCCTGATGGGCACTTGTCCGTGGGCCCCATACTAATCTGTGTATGTTAACCCTTGGATAATTGGAAAACTTCCAAAATCAACAGTAGTTGTAGTTGTCATAGGGGCCCCAGTACATTGCTTTGCCCAGGGCCCATAATGCTGTTAAGACGGCCCTGAAGTTCCCCATGTAAAGATCTCCCCACAGTAGCCAGGAAGAGAGTGGGCTGGGACAGAACTCTTTTATTGATGGTTCTGGAATATTTTGTTTGTAGGCAGGGTTTCTTTGTTTTTATACAGAGGAGTATTCAAACATGGCATCTTTCACCAGCAGCCTGAAGTAAGGATGCACTGAAGCTCCAAGGAATCCATCCATCTGGTATGCAAGGACACATTCAGTCCTCACTTAGAAAGCAAGGCAAGCCGAGAGGAAATCCACAAGTACTCATGGAAAAAAGGTTGGCAACCAGCAGCCTTCCATGTCATGTGCAGCAGCAGAATTGAATGTTAACAATGTATAGTTGGGACCTCATTATGTTCAGGCAAATATCCATTGAATCTCCATCACTCAATCAGCAAGGTCCAAATTGTGGTGAGGCTGCTTTTAGGTACACAGATAGTGTGGGGGAAATGTCTACCCCGATGACCTTACGCAATTTATTCTTCTAAACTTTTCCATCTGTATACATGTCACAATTAGACCTCTTTGTCACAGTTGGTCATCAATGGCAAACGTACCAGAAATTTAGAAAGTACAATCTTTATCATAATGTTTTAAGACTCTGATCTTCTAGAATCCAGGAAATGAAATGGTAACTATTCTCTACCATGTAACAGAACCCAAAATATACATCGTTATGATTACGTATATTTTAATACATTCATAAATAAAAGCAAAGAAACAAACCTAGGATGTTTTTAACAATTTCATTGACTTTTCAGATTGTTTTTAAGCTGTTTTTTAAACTTTAAAGGCAACACTGATACCACGTTCCAATTGGTAAAACAGAAAATCCCCTTCAAATATAACCGGCCCGTAGAGGAATGGCTGCAGGAAAAAGGTAACAGTTGTTAAAACTTTCATTTTAAATCCATTTGATTCTAAACCCTCATTTTTAAAGCCTGCAAATAAATGTTTCTTAAATTAGAATCGCCTGCTGCATAAATTACTCTTTTAATTTTCATTATAATTTGTGTCAACTTCCACCTGCCATATGTTGATAAATCATGCTATAATACATTGCTTTTAAAATGAAGTTAAAGGGACGAAATTCTAAGCTTACTATATTGCAAAGCAACAAAGAAGCAAAACTTAAGAAGGTACTTTAAACAAACAAACAAAAAGCAGTGACATGTATTATGGCAATTTAACCACCGCATGAACTTTTTTTAAAAAATAAATTACATCTGTATCTTTAACAGCAAAGTTGCCTGAAACAGTGTTTAGAAACTGTCTTGTTCAAGTACTTCTTTCCCAATTCTGCTTTCCCTTTTTGCAATTTCATAGCTGTTAATCATGTTAATGTAGCTAATCTGTCTTGGCTGGGTGTTCTGCCCAATCCTTAAGATTAAAATTATTTTAAATATTTGTGTATGCTACAATAGGAAAGAAGGTGGGTTTTAGGCTAAGTATGGATGTTTAGACTGTAACATTCACCTGGTTACAGGGATGGATTTTAATATGCTGTAGAAAATCGGGAACATGGAAAATTGCTTGCCTCACGGAACACCCTGTGGAATTCTGCTGCTCATGAGTAACCAAAGAAAGCCATATGGATCAGCAGAACAAACCTCTTAGTACATTTCAGCAGCACCAGTCATGCATGACTGGTGACTCCTACATCTGTGGGGTTCCTTATTCATCACAGTTCATATTCCGAGCTTTGCAGGAGCTACCTATAGTGCTCCATGGTAGTGAACCTATTTTGGGGATGAAGTTCAGCATCCTGAATAGCTCCTATAAAGATCAGAATAAAAGCTGCAGTGGATGACGGAGTCTCACAGATATGAGTCACCAGCCTCTCCTGGTCATGCGTGCCTAAGTGGGTACCATAATGCATGGTATGATGCAGTGCAGCTAGGCAGTCTCAGATCCTAAGCTAGATGTTCTGCCTTCTTTGGATGCAATCCTACTCAGACTTACCTGGAAGTAAACCTCACTGAACTGAGTGGGACTTATTTCTGAGTAGGCATGTATCTGATGCAGCTGCTACCACAGATACACATCTAAATGCAGATGTGAATCTGAAGTAAGGAAACACACACGAACCCACTTTTGTGCAGCACCTTTTTGTGCATGACTCTTCCTGGAATGAACACATTACGGATTGGCAACACTGCCCAAGCCTTGCTTGTACTTTTATAGTAAGCAAGTGCTATGTAGCCTTCAGCAAGCAAAGCACACTGATGAACTCCAATGATTTTACAAGATTTCTGAGTGTGCTTCTGCTTGCCAGTGAGGAGGGGGATAGTGGGGTTGTTCTGCTTTACAGGGACCTGCTCCAGACCCTTTTGAAATTAATGAGGAACTTTTGCTGGGAGAATCAGTTCTGAGGGAAAGTGAGGCATCCTGAACTCCCATTGAAGTCCACTGAGTCTTGCAACAATTCAGTCCCATTGATGTCTATTGCTATCAATATGAATAGCCATTCTGTTTTCTTTTAAATCAAATTCAAGCTTCCAATGCTCAGGAGAAAAAATTAGGATAACTCTTGGCAGCATATCCAGAGGTTTTGTTTTATAATTACCAGTCTTAACAAAATTCCCCTAAAGGAATGGACACATGTACATACGTATATTCTGCAGATATACTGAGAAAACATCTCACTACGTTCCCATTGTTGATTTAAGCCTATTAATAGTTCTAGCTGGCCTAAAAATTCGGAGGCCTTGGAGGACTTTGGTAATTGCAGCAAGATAAATATGCTAAAAGTTGCTTTTTGTTTAAACTCTAATTGATTTTTGTGAGAGCTGGAGACAATAAATTCTGTTAAGGAAAACAATTACAGTATTGTGTTGGCCATTAAACAACATATCAAGGGAGAGGTGAGGATAGAAATGGAGGCCTCTGCATGTTGCTGGAGGATGATTTGCATGAAGAAATTCACATGAACAAATCAAGAGGAAACTAGAATGAATTAAATAAAGGTCATGCTGCCTAATGGCTGTGAGCAAGTCGTCCAGATCATACAATTTGAATAATGACCACTTGGGGTCACAGCCTCCATGCAAGAGTTAGCCTAATTTTTTTTTAAAAAGTTACCCTATTTTTTCACTAAAGAGGGGAAGCCTAGACTTGATTTAGAAGTAGAGTGTCTGCCAAACTAAACCACCTCTGATAAGTGGCCCTTGGCAGCTCAGGATTCAATGGTTGAGTGTGGACAGATGAACCATGAGTTGCGGTTGAAATGTGGTTTATCATGCTATCAACATGGCTGACAATCCATGGTTATAAATCCATGGTTTCTCTTCAATCATGAAAAGAATCTATAACTTGTTTACTAGTGAACTACAGCTTGTTCATGGTTAGCAGGTCATATTTTGCTTGCATGGCTGAGTTCCAACAACCCATGTTAACAGGTTTCAATGGCAACTCACAGTTCTACAATGGTCCACACTCAACTGTTAAGCAGAGTTTCTTATGTTGTCGGAACCCAGTCTCTGTCACTCGGCCTCTGCTTCCATTCTAGTCTATAGATATAATTGGGGCCAGTACCAACCTTGAGAAACTCCTCGGAGTCACCCGGGCCTTTCCCTATTTGGTATCCCACACACATACACTTTCTCCCAGTCCAGGCTTTTATGATGGCAAAATGATTCGTTGGGAACAGCCCTCATTAAATTTCACATAATACCCCAGATTGATGCTACATCAAATACTTTAGGTCATTTGATGGTACTATTAATGGTGGGTGATTTTCCAAACCCTGCCGCCAGAGGAACAGGTGGGCCAGGGGATCAAAACCCCATAAAATGGTGATGAACCTTGGCAAGGTATCTAGATCCCAGTAGCTGCCTGGTGAGGATGCCAGCTCTGAGTTTGTATCAGTGATGATTTACATTATAGGACTGTAAATGTGTGGAGTGCTTTGAATCCTAAAGCAGGTGCACCTAATGTGTTCTTTGCCAAGCCCAATGTATCTTGCTTCCCAAGCGTTTGATACACTCTTCCCATCACACACACTTGTTTCCAGGTAAACAGGAGTTTTATCAAATGTTTGGTTGGTTGCCAGGCATGGCTGGTAGGATACATTCAGCTTGGCGGGGGAGGGGGAGGTGATTCGATAGAGAGGCTTTCCCCTGAGCATGATGTAAATGCCACACATTAGGACTAAAACATGAATAAATGCTGACTGGGACTTAGCAAATTGGCCTGAATTTGTGAGCAGTAGTTCCTAAAAATTAAACCTTTGTAGACTAAAAAGTGAATAATTTTGTATTGCTAATCTCAAAGTCATAAAGTCCCTTTAACATTAAAGACAATGCTAGCCTTGCTTTTGTTTAAAATCAATGCATGCCTGATGCTGTGATGAAGCTCATGTGCTTGAGAAACCCATCTTTGTTTTGTACATTTTCCCTTTCTTTGTAGTCTCACTTTTGAGTTCAGTCTCTTATTCCATCGCTTCCCTGAGCCTGAGATCAGCATGCTGAAGCATTTTTATGTTTATCACATTGGAATTCTGAAATTGATGTTCTTTGCCATTTGTGGGTGATGATGCTTTGTTAAAAGACAATCACACAAGAGCTGTGGGGGTAAAGGAAACAGCAGTTTCAGAGATCCCAAACCCTTCTAGGAAGCGTGGGGTAAGCTGGGTGGTTGTTCATTCGCGTTGTCAGCTGAAAAGACAAACTGTTGTAAGCATTTTGTACAATGTAGACATGTCATACACATGCAATGGGGTATATAACAATCGTCTATGAGATTAAGATTTGACAAATGGGTATTTTTTATTTTTGTGGTTATTAGTATACTGGGACCCAGCAGGGGGAAAAGACACCCATGTAACAATGTGTCACTCACTCATCTACACTTGCCAGCCCATCCAGTCATTCATTCATTTCCTAATGCATCAAGAAAGTCGTATGTCAGAAGACCTCGTAAAGATGATGAGTGCAAGGCTAGATAGCTATCAAAATGGAACATGATAAATTGATGGATGCCTAGACGGTTGGATCGATCCATCAAAGAGACAGCACAGACAGTCACTATCTGCCAGATATAATGGACCCACAATGGCATAATTTACAATTAACACAATGGATGCAATCCAGATAAAGTTAGGTGTCCTTGAATCCTGGTTCAATCAGTGGTACTTAAGTGTATAATTAAGCACTTAAGTGCCTTTGATTTCAAAGAGGCATAAGTGCAGTTGTGGGGTGAATTAAAAGCACTTTTGCAAGGAATATCAAGGCTACTTCTCCATTACAGAGGGAAAGAGAGACACAAAGAGAATACCAATATGTGTAAGATGAATATGCCATTAAAGTGGATTACTTTTTAATCCCACTGTAAGGCAAATTAACACATTAATCCTACAATACTATGCACACTTACTTGGGAGTAAGTCCCATTGAATATAACAGTATGTACATCCAAGTAAACATACCTACAATTATGACCTGCTAATCAGTCAATATCATTGATTCAGCTCATACAATAGAAAGATAGAGAACAAGCCTGTTTTCCTGTCTGTCTGGCAACTTCTCTATTTGCTACCTTTGCTGGTAACAGAAATGAAAGTGGAATGTATCCGGGACTACAGGTACTGAGAAATGACCCAATGTCTTTGTTTGTGTAAGAGAGACCATGCAGGTGTTGAATATAAACACACACCACAGTAGCTGCACTGGCGTTGCTACTTGGGATTGTTATATTATTAGAGGGAGGCTGAGTTCATTCCTCCCTTTTAAGGTGCATTGGAAACTAAGTAAAAGAATTCAGCATCAGTGCCCCAGGTTACTTGGGCAGCCTTGGACTACCGCAATCCTTACCCTTCTGTCCACAAACCTGCTTGCACAGACACAGACACACATTCCTTTTCTTGTTTTCCTGTTCTGCAGAACAGGATATGTTGAGGTGCAATAGATGGGGAAGCCCACTCTGCAGCTACCTGCTTATGCTTCCACTGGGTCTTGTTGGGTGAGCTGACTCAGGTCAAGCAGCCATGAAGAGATCGGGTGTGGGGGAATGAAGGGTCCAAGCAGAGGCTGGTCAGGTCCCCTATAGTGCCAGCAGCTCCCAGCATGTCTAGAGTAAATGCACAAGTTGGCACTACAGGCAGGAGAATGTAGATTGGTCTTGGTATTGTGTTGGCTTCTTCTGCCTGAAAGAACAGGGTGAATGGTAATAACTATGCATGTATGTTTGTATGTGTATATGTGTTGGGAAAAAGAAATATTTCTTGTGACTTATAAGGAAATAGGTTAGACCCTACATCTGTTTTTGGTGGCTGTCCTGGAATCAAAGCCACACTCCTGACCTGCCCAGCAGCTGCTAGTTAAATATTCCCCAATTGACAGTTTTATATAGAAAGGTGCTTACCCAGAATAAAAGGTGCTTACCCAGAATAAAGGGTAAGCTTGTTGTAGGCTCAAGTCCAAAATCCAGTTGAGCATTGCAAACCAGATTAATGCATTCACTAGCACAGTGGGTGTTCTGATGAGCAGTTATTTTAGATATGCCCTGACACTTTGTCAATATGAAAACCAGATTGTACAGATATCAGTGGATTCTAAAGCAAACCAGAGTGTTTAAGGAATTAAACTTTGTAGCTAAACCTAACAAAACACTTGCAAGCAATGCTTCATGTGCCTCAGCAAGGAGGGACTCAAAAGCCACACAATTTGAGTGCAAGTAACCCCCCAGATTAGCTTGTAAGCACCTGTGATGTAACTGAAATCAAGAGCATCTTTGCAACAGCAAGGTTTACTTTGTAGGAGTGAAATCAGCAAAAGTAGCAATAGGAGAGAGAGAGAGGTCTGATGTGACATATTTCGGCTTTGCATGCTCCTGCTCTACATATTTCTTTCTTTTTACCCATTGTTTCTCACTTGATCATTCAAGCAGAGATGCCTCACACAAGAGTTTTACGCTAGGAGCAGGGCTCCCTAAAGACATGCGATTGTCCATTTAGCAAACACACACTTTAGTACCAGTGCTGTGTTATAAAAAGTAGCTGTTCCATGTGTTGCATGTTTTGTCTTCAGCTCTTGAACTTGAAGAACCCCTTACTCAAGAGGGAAACACAAAGCCCTTAAACTCCCTGCACCCAAGTGGGGTCATCTTCCTGAGGTTGTTATATGTAGCATATCAGCACAATAGGCATGCTTTCATGTAAAAGGGAAGGCAAAAAGTTGGATGACCTCTCCCGCTGGTATCATGTAGAAAGCAATTATTTCTCTCAAACTCAAGGGCTTCCTGCCAACTAAGGGCCAAAAAAGATATAACTTAGAATGTGTGTCAGGCAGCATAGACTTTTTACTCTAGAGGAGGCACAGGGATCCCAATCCAGATCAGGCTATGAGGATTAAAATCTATACTAAGCCCCCTGCACCTTTACCAGACTCGAAATGGAAAGAAAACATAACTGCTCCACAGTTATTAAAGGTAATGCCAGTTTTGACCCTAAGATGGCATAGAAGGATGACTTTCTGGAAGCGGTTCATGCTCTCCTGGATATATTCTGCTCTACCTCTTCCCTAGATTTTCAATCAAGACCAGACCCTACATTCCAGAAGCAGCCCACTTCTGCCACTGTAGAGTACCCATATTCCAAGTCCCCTGAAAGAAATGTTTGGCAGATGCAGGGTTTCCCCATCAGCAAGTGCTTAGTGTGGAAGTTCATGCACCACAATCATCAGCTCTAAGGATCTCTAAAAGGTATATGTGAATGGTGCACATGAGAAAACCATTCAGCAAGTGCATGTTCCACACCCTGCCCTTATCAGTGCTGTATGTGAAACTTCATGTATCACAGTTGTGACTTGTCCATCTTCTAAAGATAACTGGATGCTGTTCGTGGGCTTTTTGCCTTCCTCCTGCTTCCTCACAGATGTTAAAGGAACTGAAGGTTTGTAAATGGAATATGGCAACTTCTCCCATCCCATATGTGGCTTTATCACTTATTAGAGTGTTCCATTGGATCTCAAACCAGGTTTTAGTTAATTGTAGGGAGAAGAGTCAGCAAAGATAGGGGAAAGTTGTTTAGTGTCATCCAGAAATTATTAAATGGGAGAACATGTTTGAATGCAGAAGCAGATCACATACTTTCAAGCCTCTTTGGCAACTTTGCCAAATAAACTGGATCTACAAATCTCTGGAAAAACCGAACTTTCCTGGGAAGACTCAAGAGGCCATGCCTGCTACACCATCAGAGTTATGGATCCAAACATCAGTTTCTGGGGAAATGGAATGCTAAGGTACTGCCAGAAGAGGGAATCTGTGAATGGAAATGTGTGGCCAGTTTTTAGTAAGAATCCATTGTGGCTTTTCCATATGATAGCTGCAGCTATAATACAATTACTTGAAAGAAATTGCACTAAACTGACCAATACTCTCTGCCATTTAATCTGAGAGATTACCACTAGTGCAATCATTTTCATATAAATAATTAAGTCCTGCAAAATGGCTATTTTCCCATACATACATAAATGCAATGTGCTATCACTAAAACTACAGGTAGCAAAACCACATGGCAAAACCACAGCATGAGAAAAGAGAAGGAATAGCAGAGGAGATTTCATTGCTTTCAAAAAGGAGTATACCCCAGTTCTTTCATTTTTAAAAATTTGTTATTTTTTTACATCTCTACACGAACCCATCTCTGCTCAAGTCTAGATTTTTTTTTTTTCAAATATTGTAATGGTAGCGGGTAGCACTAAGGGAAGATATGCAATCCAACTTCCTAACCTCTAGGCATTTCACATACACATCCACTTTGCTTGGTTAGCTAGGGTCCTCCTCGGGGAATAGGAACTCCTTTCAGATACATGTCTTCTCTTGTCCCCATTCTCTTCCCCATGACCCATCCTGTCACCATTAGATGATGCAACACCGCATCACCACTTGACTTCGAGACCTGCCACGACGACCAAAATTGGTGAGCTCCCCCTCCTACTGTGATCTACTTTAACTGCTGGCTCTGAGGGAATGGACAGTGGGGTTTAGGCACTGCCTTACTAGATGGTGGCATTTGGCACCGGAAAGGGTGGACTAGAGAAAGCAAGTGGTGAGTGTACTATAGAGAAGGGGGGAAGGGATGGGCATATGTGTGTAAATGTGGGGAGAACTGGATCGAATGAACAATATGGATGAATTCTGCTTTGTCTTCTGAAATGTGACTGGTGTCATTCTCTGCTGAACAATGGACTGCATTTATATACCCTAAGAATTCATACTAATAAGGATGGCAAGGTCATGTGTTGGGTTTATCATGTGAAAATCACACTTGTCATTTGATTAACTGAACGTGTGGAAGTACTATTTCCATAGACCATACTTCATCATCTCTGACAATTTTCCACCAATGGTGGGAATGAGAATGTCTAGCAACTGTTTACCTTCTCTCTCTCAGAAGAACACTATGAACTCTCCCTTGGTTTGTATCTGGAAAAAATGGATTGACTATTTATGAGACCTATTCTGAATAGAAACCCCTGGTTTCACCCTGGTTTCCTTTAAAGGGAATTAGCAAGCACACTTCTGAGATCTCAAAGAACTCAGTGGCCTTCCCTTTCTGGGCCTCATAGGTAGTTAGTAGCAACCCTGAGGTTCACCACGCCTCTTCACTCTGAAGAGTGTTTGGAAGGAATGTTGGGGGTGTCCTAGGAGGCTTGCTGGCAGTTCACCTTGGAGTTGCAGTGGGGCTCACACCCTCTGCAGCCTTCTCAAACTGACCTTCAGTAAATGTAGCGGCTATTCAAGACCTAAACTGGTAAAACTGCAACTGAGAAACAACACTTTAGACTGCAGCTGGCGGCTCACATGTCAGGAAGAAGCTGCTGCAATGTTTCTTCCCCAAATTTATAACTTTTCTATATATGGACAGCATTGTTTGCTATTTCATATCCTTCAAGCATATGATCTTCCACCTGCAGTATAAAGTGGGCACAACTAAGAGACAGTTTTACTGTGAGAACTAGGACAAGTGCTCTAGGATTATTTGTGTTCACTAATTCAGTATTGAAATATACTTTCTTTCCCACAGCAAGGATAATCCACATACTATGTTCAATTCAAACTTTATGTAAAAGTAGATTTTGTCTTCTACAATTTCAGTTGTTCTCATAAGTTTTAAGAAGTCATACATATGTTCATTTCTTAGAATAGTTCATCTATGTTTTTTCATCTTTTTCAAAATCATAAGACAAGGCTTGGTATCTGCTTTGTCCATCCAGGGATTGGGGGTAGAGGGGTTGCATTTAGGGATAAGCAAAAATTAAAAAGGATTTGATTATTTGAATCAGATTAGACTCTCCCAAGTTGCAAATTTAATACATTATGCATTAAGAGTTGGATCTCAGATTTGGTGTGAGAATAAGTATTGGGTGAAAATTCTCCTGAATGTGCTTATGTTTGTGAGAACAAGACCCAGAAGATCTGGATTCATTGTTTTGTTGTTCAGCCTTATCACAACTTGTAACGCAGGGTGATTTATTATATTGCATTCTTGCCATTCAGTCACCACAACTGCCATCACCACCACCATCTGGAAACTTGCTCTGATCTTGTTCTTCAGTCCATTTCAGCCACAACTCAGCATTAAAGGGTTTTAAACAGGAGAAATATTCCTGGCAATAATGTTGTTCACTCCCCCCCCCTTCACCTAGGACGACAGTTAACGATCTTCAACACCCAGGCGCAAATAGCCATTGGAGGAAAAGACAGAGGGCGTCTCTTCCAAGGCCAGCTCTCCGGACTCTATTACAATGGCTTGAAAGTATTGAACATGGCAGCAGAGAATAATCCCAACATCAAGATCAATGGAAGTGTCCGGTTGGTTGGAGAAGTGCCGTCCATCTTGGGAACAGCACCCACGACTTCCATGCCACCAGAGATGTCTACCACAGTCATGGAGACCACCACTACAATGGCCACTACTACAACCCGAAAAAACCGTTCCACACCCACCATTCAGGTAAGTCATTTGATGCATATGTAACTGGTTTTTGTGAATATGTTTTCCGGCCAAATTCTTTTTCAGGTTTTTTAAAAAAATCATCTAAATGTAGGATGCAGTTCAAAATTGGATGTTCCCCAGATTTGGTGGGAGTGTGTGTGAATTATGATTTTAATGTAGTAGCAAGGCCTAGTTCTTTTGTGATGTTGTTGGAATTTTATGTTAGTAATGCTTGTACCAGTGTGAATGGCAGGGTTTATACTTTGATCATGGAAATGCCAGTATAATAAGTTCTGAAAACCCAGTGAGAATAATGCAGTTTACCACTTTTTACATGTATTTCTTCTTTGTTGGTAAAAAAATTTAATAGAATGAATTGAAGTATGGAAGGTGAGTTGGTCCTCAGTTCAGGTTCTGACAAATAGTGAGAGCAGAAATTGTCAGATAGTAGTGTTCAAATCCAAATGTCATTCATCTGGACACTTTTGAAACCTCTCTTGGCACTTATTGTCATGGAAACATGTCTTTTTCTCTGACTACACTTTCATTAAGTTTTTAAAGGCTGTACAAAGCTTCAATATACCTTTTCAATTCTTGCAAATGGTAAAAGTTTATTTATTTATTTGAAATAATTTCTACTGCTTCTACTTCCTCTCCTTCCTAAGGAGATTGGAGTGGCACACAGTGAAAACTGTGAAACAAGATAATGAGCAAACAAGTCATGGCAACCAAAATATTTCAGAAGGCTCACACACCTTATTAAAAAGTTTTTTGTGCCCTCCTAAATTCAAGCAATGAAGGAGGTATACAGATCTCCCAAGAGTGGGGGGCTTCAGAGGAGGTGGGCCACCACAAACAAGTTGTGGTGTTGTCACCTTATAAATATGTGGAGTCACAGTGAGAAGGGTCTCTCACAGGCAGGATTATATGGATGGTGGTGGTCCTTCAGGTAATGGATCCTGGGTCATTTTTTAAGTCTGCACAGAAATCTATAGCTAATACAGTTAATGCAAAGGTGAAATTGGTAACATTAGCCCTATATCCTACTCCCATAAGAAGTATGGCTGCAACATTCTGAACACACAGAAGTTCCATAATAGTCTTCATAGAGAGCCTGACCTGGAGAGTATTCTAATCAAGACAAAAGGTGACTAAGGCATGGGCCACCACAGCCAGATCAGAAGGCCCCAGATGCAGGTGGCACAGTGGTCTTAATTACACAAAAAGCTAAGGTCTGAAAATCCAGGCCAAGTGCCTTATTTAAGACTTGGGGTCTTTAAGAAAGGGGAAATAGTGTGAGTACCTCAAAACTCCCAATGACCTTTCTCAGTGCTTTCATGTAAATGTTAAAAAGCATGGGGGGCAGAACTGAAACCAGAGAATTCTCACAGGCCTCAAGTACCACCTTCTGGAAACATTCCTTCAGGAATCAGCAAAAGCACTGCAGAATATGGTTGCCAACTCTAGACACAACCTAATCCAAAGGAACAAGCCAGAATTTTCCATAGTCAGTGGTTATGAAGTAATCCCTCAGGATAAGGAAGAATTCTGTCTAAAGGTCATTTACCAGAATGAATTCTGGTAAATTCTAAAGAATTCTGGTAAAGGTCATCTACCAAAATGACTGAGATCATTTCAGTCCTACAATCAGGTGGAAAACCAGGCCCTAGAAAGTCTGTTTCATCTAGAAATACTGAAGTCAAGATACTTTAGCTTCTCCAATGCATTGTCCAAAGAAATAATTTTTGATATTGGTCACCAATTATCTAACACCTTTAGGTCCAGTAAGGGCTTTTAAGAAAACTGTGATTACTATCACCTTCCTGAAGTCCAGTGGCATCTTATTTGATGAAGAGAGTCATTCCACACTATACTAACCTTCCTCACCATTCCTTGTAGGGCAGTCTGACATAGGCAGGATAAGCAACAATGCAGGGCGCTGCTGGCAGGTCTCATATCTCTGAAAAGACTATCTGAAATCAAATGCAATATGTATCTGTCCAAGTATACCTTAAAAACAAAAAATTGTTTCCCTGAACTGCTGTCGTCTATACTGGTGATAAAGAAGTTCAACTGTTTAAGACAAGGAGAGCAGGAAAAGAAACATGAATGCTTTATTCTGGAAGGGCGTGCATACCAAGAGAGCGATCAGGGAGTGGTGTTCTAAAAGACAGGATGGAGCCGGCTTATGTACAGATGTCGGGCATCCACCGCATGTGGACTTTGTTTCTTGTTATGATTACATATATAAGACTCAACACCAGCAGTGTTGCTAATGTGTATATGACCATGACCATTGTTACCAATGGCTGACCTTTCAAGTGGCCAGATAACAGGAACCTGTCATTGCTGAATATGGCTGCAAAGGTGCTGTGCTAAAAAAAACAGGGAATTGAAATGCTCCTTAGCACTGGGTAGAAGGCATTTTGCAATAAGCTTCATACATGTAGACCTTACACTGTGGGCTTTCTTGTAGCATTTTCATGAAATGTGCAAAATCATGCAATTCTTTCTTTGGTAAGAATGTTTGTTGCCTTTCTGGTTTGCTTGTTGCGGCCTGAGACCTTTTGCATGCAGAAAACACAGGTGGCTACAGATTGGTTGAAATAATTTGCTTCAAATGATGGTGCTGTATGAAAAGGCCTTCAGTAGTTACCTGCATCTAAATTGAATTGTAAATGTAAAGGATTAGGAATTAATCTTCAGTTGTTATTTGGCATGCTGCTTCTACATGGTCTCAGAAATTAAAGGGACCGTGGGCTGGTTTTTGCTCTTGGTGTATGATCTAATTGAACTCTGTAAAATGTCATCAAGCCACTTCAGATGGAATTACATTGGTTTGTGTCAGCATTGCTCAAAATACCACTTGACCCTGTTTAGTGAAATAGTCCCAGGTATTTCACAAAGGGCTTTTGACCTGATCTACCTGGCAGCTTGCTAAGTCCATTGACGCTGTTATGTTCTTCAGAGTGGTGGAAAGAAAACATCAGAGTGATTTAATAAAGGATAGACAGGTCTCTAAAAACAGTGTTCGAGCAATGATTTCCTGAATGCACCCACAGCACAACAAATGGTCTCATCTTGGCTGATATTAAAGCAATAACTCTCAACAGTTCACTCTTCTTCCTCTGAAAGGAAGATAAAAGTCAATAGGTGCCTCCATTACAACTCACTGTTGTAGAGCAGGTTGGCTTATTGCCATCACCAAACAAGATGATTTCTCCTTCCTTTCTATCATTCATCTGAGTTGTTCAGCTCTATTTGCATAAACTGTATTGTTTGCAAGAGGTGTATTAGGTACCTGCTGGGAACCAAGCGCCCAGAGTGGACCCATCTTTGCTACTTGAATTGACACCTTTTTCTAAAGCAAAACAAAACTTTAAAAAAAATCTGGAACATTGGTGTCTAGTGGCTTCCATATCAGTTTTTGTATTTCCCCACAGTTCACCAGAGTTAAGTCATTCCAGAGTATTGCTAGGGGAAAAGATGGTCTCTGCTGTCTTTTCATGCTGGCAGCTCTCTTATTCCCTACAATGCTCCAGATGGACTCAGTCTTTCAGGAACTGGGGCAATATACAACTGGAGGGTGCATAAAATGCATAACTGGACTAGCAATGGAAGGCTGGGGAAAATATCTTGATTTTTTAAAAAATTAAAAGAGATCCATCAGGAGTGGTAGGAGGGTTCATCCCTGAGAACAGAATGACAAATTGCTGTGGTCCCCCTTAAGCCTGGTTCAGATATAGCAAGTGCATGGCTGAACCTAAGAGTGGCTCCAGGAATGTATTTCTTATGCTATGTGTCTATCCTGCCTTTCTTCCAAGGAGCCTGAAGTGGTGCATGAGATTTGGCTCCTCTCCATTTTATCTTTACAACAATCCTGTGCAGTAGGCTAGTCTGAGAGTCGGCAACTGGCTCAGAGTCATGCAATGCCTCAGGCAGGGGATAGGATCAGGTCTCAGCCCAACACTTTAAACACTATACTACACTGGTTCTCTCCAGCTGTAGATGTTGCTTATGTATGCGAGAGCAAATCTGGTCCCAGTACACATACAGATTCTGGTACAGTTTTTGCAAACGATGGATAAAGGATAGGAGTAGCATATCACTGAAATGAAAAACAGCTGCTATACTTCATGAAATTACTTTTTGTACCATTTGCAATATGCCATCACCATTCCCTAAAAATCCCCATAGTTAGTAAATGCACAAGAGATGCTATCCTAAGTTTTAGTTCAATGTAGAATAATTTTTATTTTAGATTTTTGTAATACCATATTATTATTCCAAATGAGGTTACAAAATGAGGTGGGTGTTGTTGTTTTTTTTTTAGAAAATCAAATTAAAAGGATTAATAAAAATACTTTGAGATTTAATGCTTGCTAGTAATTCTGTTCCAGTTTTCTAGAGAGGTTAGCTTCTGAATCACAGCATATGTTGTTTGTGTGTTATCTTTCATTTGTTAAAAAAATATATTCCTATTGTGACAACCTGCTCCCGGGTTTAGATGCTGAGCCCCTGGCTTTTTCTTAAAGAAAAGCCAGACTACTTCAAACAGTGTGTGCATATTTATTATCAACCATCAGATTCATAAACTTATTTGCAAAAATCTCAACATCTCTGATTTCTGTTTTGGCAGAAAGGAAAGACATAATCTTTCAAGTAATTAAGAAATATGTTTTGGCATTAGCCTTGGGTGAAGCTAAGGTACCTTACATGATATTAGGCATGGATTTTCTATTTTTCTTTATATTCTCAATTTTCAAATGGGGCAAAAATTTACTAGTGTGTTTTATCATAAATGTTCCATAGCATAAATGTTCAACACTGCATGTATATGTTAGTTTTATGAGAATGCAGAGATTTAGCTGAGTGCTCCAGCATTTGTCATAATCCCAAATTAAGATTGCAGATCAATTATTGCTCTATATTCTGGCTCATGGACCTCATTTCATACTACAGGTTTATGCACATCTATTTCTCTTACATTTAGACTAGATTCAAAGACGAGCTAGCAG